AACCAAGATTTAAAAATTTAATATAAGATTCCTTACAAGTTTTTCAATCTTTATCACAAAAAAAATGTCCACTGGAAATGCAAATTAAATTAAATAAAGATACATTTATAAATCGATTACTTCCTAAAATATATTATTCTTTAATGTTAATCGCAAAAAAGAAACTATAATCTCAACATATGGCATTACGTGAAAACATTTCAATAACAATTGATGAAATAAAAGAAAAAATTCAAGCTATTCCTGGAGTGAAGCGAGGACTACACTTCAAACAAATAAAATGTGATTTTTCCAATAAAAATAAAGATCTGGTAATTCTACCACAAATTAATGCTATACTATTAAGCGAAAACGTTCAACTTGATATTTATCATTATCAAGACCCAACAAGTTGTCTTGTTACTTAGTTGTTTCAAAAATGCCCCAACCACTTCGGTTGGCTTCGAACGATAGTCGTTTTTAGCATCTTAAAATATATTGACCAATAAACGTCATAGTTTTACTGAAGAAAAACTGGGATGAGTGTATGGTTAACAAAAAAAAATATTTTAACTTATATTTTATAATATATTTTTACAATATTTTAATATAAGTACCAATATTATAATATTGTATGCATTTGTGATGTAAATAATTGAAATTGTCTTTTTTATCAATTTTTTTTTTCATTTTAATAATAAATACATATTTTTAAATATACAGTAAAATCTCTCTATAAGACTATACATAATTGACCGTCTATTTTAATGGAATCCTCCTTATGACGCGCGGGTAATGTCATTAGKCCCAGTACAAAAAATATATGCAATTTCTATCTCTTTATAACCGAAAAATGTTTGATCCCGCATGCGATTCYGTTATATAGAGATTTCACTGTATATCAATTATATTATCAATTTAAAAGACCTTTTTTTAATATCATTGAAATATAAAAGTAGTGACTTAAATAATTGAAATTATATTGCATAAAAACCCTCGCTCCACCAATAATATTAACTTATTTAGTTAATATGATTTATAATTGGATAAGCTAATATTGATTAGGAACATTTTTGGTACTGAACCGTATTAAARGATTATAGTAAAGGATATTATACGATCTAATTCTCAAAATTATACCTTAAAATTTATACTCTTATAATTTAAGGAAATAACGAATATAGTATAATATTATAAACCTAAWTTTTTTTCTAAAAAACAGTGCATCACGACTGACAAAACCTAAAAGAATTGAACCATGATGTAAAGTAATAAGTATCTACTGCTAAATACATGGACCATTACGTGTAAATTATATATTTCCATATTCCATAATACCTAGTTATTGCAGTCTCGTAGATTCAGTAGGTAAGTAATAACTACTATTACTACTAATAACTTATAAATATTAGGTTTATGTTTAATAGAAGCTTAAAAAATATTAAAATATTAACGATATTAACAATAATAACAAACCGAGCATGCTATAACGGGCCAATAATCATTCTTATAATTTTTGGACCTTGTCCAAGTGTCAAATTCAGAATATTGTCCTGAACCTAAAACGTATGTATAGAATTTTTCTTGTTTTTTGGATTTGAGCTAATGATGTTCCAATGTATGTCTCGTATATATGATGAGTACATAGGTAATAATTACCAAATTTAATGACTTCACAATCAGAACTCGCGTAAATTATCTCCTATTTCCGTCTTACTAATTTGCGTTCATGTTCAGCAGAACCAATATTGTGTTGTTAGCTTTTATAGTGAAGTAACGCGTGTTATCATTTATCAATGTGTAAGTAGGTGTAAGTACCTATGTAAAATATTACAACATTGGAATGATCATGCATCATAATTGATGTACCTATAGAAATAAAAATATTGATATTTCAGTTCCTAATTGCATAGGATATTTGGTTAGATTCTTGTGGATTTGCCTAACTATTGGCTATTTAATATCCAATAAACTGAAATAATTAATTTAAAATATATTTTATATGCATATAGGTCTAGGCATAGTCTAGGTACGTCTATCAAAAATAAAAAATATTAAATGTAAAAGATTAGGTATGGTAATACTGTCGAATGGATGCTATTAAATACATACTACAGTGAAACCTCTCTATGACGGAATCGCATGAGACCAAACAATTTTTCGGTAATAAAGAGTTTCCTGTCATAGAGAAGTAGAAATTGCATATATATTTTGCACTGAGATTATTGACATCTTAAGGAGGACTCCGTTTAATATAAAGCATCCGTTATAGAGAGGTTTTACTGGAATAATAACCTGAATTCTTACCTGTTAAGAATACGCCACACCCGCATGTGTTGTTTCCGTCTTATAAGTGCGTAATATAAAATATAAAATTATTATCTTATGTAATTAAATCTTAAAATATTTATAACTCTCTTTGAAATTAAAATATAATAAAAAGCCTTGGTGAAAACCTTKATGTTACCTTTAATTTTTATAAGAAGTCAATTCACTCTAAATTTAAACTGCTGAGCATAAAACTTGTTAAATGTTACGCACTTGTAAGACGAAGACAACATAATATGCGGGTGTGGCTTTCTGTACGATTATGTATATCATGTTTATTGCCTTCAAATAATTGGGACTATATTTGGCACTATGAGAATAATTAAACCTCGTGTGGAATTTTCTAAAACTAAATTGTATGATGTATATAGTTGCTCTTTAATTTTATACGTAATTATAACTTTATAATTTATAGATAACATGTTTTTTTTCATCGTAGATATAAAAGTATGTATTTTTTGAAATTTGATCTAAAATTATATCTACGTATCATATAGGCAATGGTAACTATTCTATACATATAATACATTATAATTGATAAGCAGAGGTAAATACAAGTACAAACACTATGGACAATTAACTTTATAATAATAATTTCTTAAATTATAACAATATTTTGTTTCTTATTATAGGTAGTTATTTATAATTTATTTACTTTAATTGAGAAACTATAGGTATACCTACCTAGATAATAATACTAAAATGAACTTTGATATAATTTCTAATCATGATAAAGAAAATTCATTTATTTTAATTATTAATCCGAACATATTCATATACTATAATGTATACATATTGTTTAGGATTTAGTATTTAGTTGTTTTACTTTTATAGTAAAACGKACTATACGTTATCTATTTATAAAATGACATTAAGCATTTTTAACAGAAATATTAATCATTCCAATTCTTTGCAAGCTAATAAAATATTATACAACGCATTAATGTAGAATTTATTATTTATTTTCAAAGAACCAATTTCATGCTAAAACTTCTTTAAACACACGAAATACAATCAATAACGGTTGAGGAAAATAAATTTGTGTTTGACATGATAAATTCTCATTGAAAAGTTTACGGTATACCTAGACCACTAGCGTGATAGGTTGGCGTAAATTTTTTTATTGACATGATATTATTTTCTCTATTTTAAATTTTTCAGAAAAGTTTATCGATTTACCAACAGTTCTTGTTATATTTAATATGTGAAAGCCAATATAATATAACTGCGAATTTAACGTATAATGTATGTAAGATCAAATTAAATACAACATAATATACGATGTAGGTATTATCTATAACAGTAGTTGGCAACCTTTTTTTGACACCTCGGTCATATTCATAATTAAAAAGAGTTCGCGTGCCAGATTCAAATTCAAATTTTGTACTACAAATACTATAAAATGTGAAAATTACAGTTTTTAATGGAAATAACAACTGTTTGGTGAAATACTTAATGTATTTTTCATTGTTTATTATTTTTTAAATTTCCACATTAAAATTACTAGTGCCCGCTCAAAATACATATATGGTGGAGATGGTCATCACTCCAGTAATTTATTAGAAGAGGTAATTTATCTTGCTATTATTAATAATACATTGGGTTGTTAAAGCCAAGACCGGCTTGGCGCTGCAGTAATTTGGAATAGCGCGAAATTCATGTAGGTGCGAAATTTCTAGCCCCTGCTCAGTTTTCTCAGCAGCATAGACTTACATAATTTTATAAGTTACACAGACCCGCTAATAAAACAAAATTCGTAAGTTATAGCTTACTTTTTAATTTATATTCGTACCTATTATGCGGAAGCTATAGACAAATATTATTTCCCACAGTTTTCTGATGGCCTCCGAGAAAGAACCTCYAATATGCATATCCCGCGGTGTTCAAGTCGTCATTATATATCTGGTATAAAAGTTACAATAAATAACATACGGTTAATCCGATAAATAAAAAAAAAAGCGGGTAAGTGGATGTCGCTCTGCTGTAAAATTAGGTGGTGGGGTGGACCTCTGACTATGGCAGGTTAGATTTGAATGCAATGATAGGTATCATTGTATATACGAAAAACGATTCTGAACGGAGATGATTTGTCAGTCTAGGATGTATTATATTTAAATATTGTCATATATTTTGAAACAAATATTTTATTTTTCAATTAGGACGCATTTTGCATAAGGCATGGTTAAACAATTTTTCCAAAAAAATTGCATGTAGACATGTAGTTATCATAATTCATAATACCTTATATATACGAATACCTGGTTTGAGGATAAATCGTTATCATTACCCGATTTCATAAAAATTTAAAACTCAAACGCTCAAAACATTTTTTCCTCTAATGACGCTTCAAATTTTCATTATAGCTATTTGAAGCAAAACTTAATGTTGAATTTTTTAACTTTAGATATAAATACAAACAATTTTTTGAATTTTGAACTACAAAATAATTTGCAAATATTCATGGTTTTGACGAATTTTTGTCAATATTTGAACTTCAAATGCTAATAAACAAAAGTTGTGCCTATATGTATTCTTATAATTTTTTAATCACTATAAGAATAATTTATGAGGAACTTTGTATTAATTTTCAAGTATTTGATAGGACCAAAAAAATTTCAGTTGTCTATAAATATCTCAAAAAAGGTCAAAATATTTTGAAAATTAAATCATGAAAAGAAAATGCCAATCTAAATAACTGGTAAAATTTTCAAGTATCTACGACTTATACTTTTTGAATAATAACAAATATTTAAAATCGTTTGAGGATAAATCATTATCGTTACGCTATTTCGTAAAAATTTAAAATTCAGACGTACCTATTTAAAATTTTTCCAATAATGATGCTTCGAGTTTTCTCTATAATAGCCACTTGAAGGAAAACTTAGTGTTGTGTTTTTAATCCTTAGTTATAAACAAAAACAATTTTATGATTTTTCAACTTCAAAATTACTTGCAAATTTTCGCGTTTTCGACAGATTTCGTAAAAGTTTTAAGTATAAACACTTATAAAAAAAATTGTGACTTACGATTTTTAATTTTTTTTTAGCTACAATAAGAACAATTCATAAGGAACCTTGTATTAAATTTTCAAGTTTTTTTGGTCATCCAAAATTTTTTTACCGACACTTAAAAAAAAATTCTCATACAAATCGAAAATTTCAGTGGTCTATAAATAACTCAAAAAAAGTCAAAATTTTTTGAAAATTAAACTTTATATAGATAACATTAACATAAACATTTGTTGAAAATTTCAAGTATTTACAGTGATTATTTTTTGAATTACAACCATATAAAAAAATCGATTTGGTCGAAAACTGGTTTTGCATAAAATTTTCCGTTTTTCTGTCATTTATTTTTTTATTTTTTTGAAAACTGATGGAAAACRTTTACTTTTGACCTTTATAATGCACCAAGGATATTCACTTTTACATCAGAAACCACCCCCAAAGTTTGAAATTCAAGCATTATTTCGACTAGTTATGCAGTACACAGACACAAAAAAAAACACTCACACATCATTGTAATATCAATACATTCATCACTATCCGTTCAGAATCTAAAAGTAACTAAAATGTTCGTTTGAATATAAAATTAAAATTCTAATTTAAAATAAGTATAACTACAAATCGGTGAACATATATTTATTTTTATTTTATTTTTTTTGTGACAATATATGAAATAATAACGAGAAATCTCATTTTCAATGTTCAATTGTGTGCCATAAAAATTGAAAATCATATACATTATCAGCTGTAATTATAATTTTCAAATTGTCKTGATTTTGTTTAAATTGCCGTATAAGTATTCTATCCAATAAAGTGAACAGAGCAGGACGGATTGGTATATGTATCGGCCTGCAATTTACATAATATTCACTGGGCCAAAAATACATCTAACATTTTATCTAGCTTTAATATGTTAATAGGTGGCGACTGCTAATCATATTTTAAACATGAATTTATTTGCACCCACACGCATACGATCGGCACAAATTTCAAGCGACCTACCGAGATTTTCCTTTTCTTGGTAGCTGGCTTAACTAATCTGCCACTGATACTGAACTATATTACACTGTATAATACAGCGGAACCTTGATAACACGAATCGGTTGGGGGCGAAAAAAAAGTTCAAGTTATTGAAAATTCGACTTATAAAGGTTCGAGTTATCGAGGTTCCGCTGTATTTATACATAATAATTATGCTACATTGTAAATCGTTCATAGTTAATAAAACATATTAATTTACATTATAATTATTTTTAAAGATTTTCTTTTATGATTATTTATTTATGTATCTAAAAAAAGTAAGTTCATGACTTCATGTTAAAATGGTAAGATTTGCATGTGGTATTTTAAAAAATAATAGTACCTGCGTGTGTAATGTGTATCAAGTAATTATACAAATAAATATTGGATTTTTTACCAAACTTTTATTCTGACTTTAATAATTCTTTCGAACTTTTATTCGCCAGACTTTTAGGTACAATATCAGCTGATAGACATCCTGATATTTTAGGAACTATTTTTAAAAACAATTCTAATAATGTGATATACAATAGTATAATCATTAAATCTTTTGCAATTAACTATGACATTATAAATTTATTGAAAACAATAGGTATTAAATATATTATGTTTACCTAGTACAATAGTTAGTAGTTTTTAATAAGAATCTAAACCTTTAGAATAATTCCTTTTTGAACTGTAAGAAAATTTAGCGAAAATGACTCATTTTTATACGTTATGTAGAATTATACCTATATACATAATACACACACATATATATATATGTATGTAAATTCTTAAAGCCGGTTTTTTACAAATAATTTTCATTTGCTTTTTTTAATATTTAGAGATACATTGATCTTATTCTTGTGTACCCGTAGTTTTGCTGCAATTTGCCGGTGAGTTTTGTATTGGAACTTAAATGTACTCTCTTAGTTTCAAATTATTATGAGTATTAACACCAAAGACTAATGAGTATAATGATCATATTTAGTACCTAACCCGCAAAGGCAGATAAATGTCTTTAAAAATTATATTTATATACATAATATATTATATAAACATATTATGTCATGACTCATAATAATTTGAAACTAAGAGAGTACATTTAAGTTCCAATACAAAACTCACCAAGGCAGATAAATGTCTTTAAAAATTATATTTATATACATAATATATTATATAAACATATTATGTCATGACTCATAATATATTAAACTGCGTTTTGGATTTGGTCATTTGGAAATGGTGTTAAACGCACAGACAAAAAAACATACTCACACTAAAAATAATAAATACCAGATTAAATATTTATGTCACTCAATCGCTAATGCCTTAATACTAGGTTGTTAAAATAAATGTATACATCCGTGGCTCACAGCTCAGAATATCAAATAACGAATTTTCATCTTATTATTTTAGTCATTATTTCGTGATTAAAAAAATCTTGGAGTCTGCAGGAAGATTTTCGCCAATAAGTAGGAGTTTAATTATTTTAGGGTAATTTTAAACTATTTACACTGTTTATTTGCATATTATATAGGTATGTCAGTTTTGATTTAAGTTAATTCTGGGAATAATATAAATATATGATATTAAAATAATAATCACCACATACACAATATGCATAATACATTTTTGCAAAAATCAGTTCGATCTACCGAAACAAAACCTTACCGATTGGAAAATGAGTCCCCAATAAAGTTAATACAAAATATTATATAAAATATAAATAATATAATATACATCGAAATTAAAAATAGAGGCGGACAGTCTCCGTTCTGAATGGTTTTTCGTAAGCAATTATTTATCAGTTTATCACGCATACTGCATAGTAAGTCAATGACGAAGTACACGCAAAACCTACTATACAGCAAATCGACTTCTCTAGTTTTTACAATATTTATTGCCTTATTGGTATAATTGTTGTTTTGACTAAAACTAAAACAATTACATTTGCGTCAATAATTTGATAGTAAAAACCATCAAAGTTTTGCCATCTATAATAAACTGAGTTCGTGATATTCCGTAAAATTCGAACACGCAATTCTGTAGAATACTAACACTTTTTATATATCATATTATTACATTGCGTCAAAATAAAACTAAAATCCTTGAATGTGAAGGGTAAACTTTTTGAACTTTGACATTTTATTATTCGAAATCTGTTCCTCTATTTACAGTATAGCATATAGATAGATACACTCATATTTATTTTTATTGGTAAATAAATAATTATTAATAATAACAATAGTAATTAGTAATATTCGTAATTTTATGTACATACTCGTACTTAATAATAATATAATACATAATAATTAAATATAGTCTATTAAATTATTTTTAAATATGAGAAAATCAACAAAAAAATACTCTCCTATTTTGTTATATATATATGAAATACAAATACACTATATGCATATAACACTTAATTTTAATAATCGTACGTACATAATATCCTACCTAAGATACTTATTAGTTATTATAATTAGTTGCAAATAGATGATTCCTGCTTGAATCCCGCTATTTTGGTATAATAGTATTTTATATTTAAAATATTTACTCATTTGTTTATTAAATTTGAAGGTATACTACTGTATGTATTTAATTTATCATGAAGTTTAAAATGTTATTTGATGTTATTAAATCTCTGAATCCCCGACGTAGTTTTACAAAAGGCGATTTGCATAAATGTCATGTCCAACAAAACATATTTAATAACGCAACTATTAGGTAATTCAATTCTTATTTGTTTAATGCATTAATGATCATAAATTATTATTATTCGATATAATTTTGAATTTCTTATTGACATCAATTTTTTTCTACATATTTTATGTAGGTACTAACACATAAATTGTCATGAGTCATTGTTCTAAATAGAAAAAAACAATACGTAATCCAAGATGCAGACTTTATACATTTGAATTGCACTTGATCTCATATTAACTACTTATATATCGGTCATCGTTATTAGTCAAATRCTTATAATTTGTAAGCGATTATCTTATTCATCAATTGTGATAATAATCTGGTCAGTCTAGAGCAATAATAACTGATAAAATACACGTTGTCAAAAATAATTCCTAATTAGAATTAAACATCAATATCTTTAACTGTGAGTAGATTAAACATGTTGAAACGAGAAAAAAAATTTCAATTAGTTATTTGCAATCTTAATACCATTATTTTAAAATGTAGTTATATTGTCTAACGTGTAGAACAGTTTTATTTATCGCAAAAACCAAATAGATAATATTACGTTTAATTAAAAATTATTTTTTCCAATAATGACTACATGGTAAATGGTAATTATTATTATTTCTGAGAGTAATTACTATTAAGCATACATCAATCTAAAATATAACATAAATGTAACTTAATATCATTTTACTTTTCAAATAATTATTTAACAAAGTCAACTATTTATGGTAATGAATAATAAATTATGAATTATGATAATAAAATATATAAATTAACGAAATTGAATTGTATAAACACACATATTTATATTAAATAATTCATGGGGTTATGAGTGTTGTGACATTCATTTTTCAATCGATTCATCATTTCAGTAAAATGTTATAGGTAATTAAAATAACGATGACATTGGAGTGTAAAAGTTATATGATAGGTATATATTATTTATTTACTTTTTAAAGTCGGGAATTGGTTTTACGTTTCAGTCAAATCAATGGTCTGCAGTCTGCAAATGTTACTGATTTTAGTATATTCATATAGTCTATAGACGTTGATAAATATTGATGAATTACGGTTTTGTTATCAATAAAAACTTATTAGATCTGTAACCTAATGCGTAGCCCATGGCGAAAATGTTTTCGAAAAAAATATGCGCACATTTGGTTACATAAGCTATAAACACGCGCTTGAACGCGATAATGAATAATGTGTTATGCTGCAGTGTGTGCCGGCTTGTATGTGTGTGCATGTGCGCGAGTGTGTATTGCGGAAAACGATTATAACGAATATGGGTAGCTTAAAAAAGTAATGAAAAGAAAAATCGGTCACGTGAGAAAAAAAAGAAATGAAAAGGCGGAGTCGAACCCATTAATGAAAATCCCCGAAAACGAGTGTGGTGACTGGTAAAAGCGGGGGGGGGGGTAAAACGGGCGTACGCGATAGCGGTGTATTATTATATTTGCATTTTGGCGGTACCTTAATGTTTATAATATATTTTTTAGATACAAATCGTTATGCTTTTCGTCTTTTCACACGAACACGACTGCCCGACAGCCGGTCGTCGCTGTTACTCCACCCCCTCTCCGACCCACAGCTGTCTAATCGCCGCCGCGTCTGCCTACCGTCGACGCGCGCTACCGCCGAGTTTTTCAAACGAAACGTCCTCGTTGCCATGTGACACATTGCAAGCGCGCGTCTAGCCGTCGTCGTCGTCGTCGTCGTCAGTACCAGTTACAGGTTTGCGTGCACATACGAAATATTATTATTGTTGTAAAACGTTTTATCGATTAGGTTCGTAACAATTTTTCCCTTCTGTGTTTTTCAGATATCTCTTCGAAATCACACGCACACACGCGTCATAATACATTATTATTTACAAGCGTACACGGTGAGTAGTGGCGGCGCCGCGCCGTTCGGGTGCTCTCGTCGACGACCGCAGTAAAAATAGACATTCGACATTTCGACGCGGTCACGCTGACCACGCGACAACGACGAGCGGGAAATTTGCTACGCCGTTGACGCACACATCACTCGCAGCAGGTACAACCACCGGCTGGCGGTTCGACGAACAACCATAGACACGCCGAGCTCGCGGCACCGGCACCATTATGGACGCTTGCTTTAGCGCCTTCGACAAGGACGGGTAAAATAATACGTCATGTTTAACTACCGTGTGCTGTGCTCAGTGCATTATTATTTTATTGTGTAACTAGGAATACAATCGCTTCGACGTCATGGTATTGTTTAGAATTTTTTCCCTCCGTAAAATTAGCCCCTAAAAATCTCTTTGCGCCCGTATCGGCCCTCGTTGCACGCCCCATGACATGTACCCGCGGGTGATGGAATTTTATGGGAAAACAATTTAACCATAATATTATCACCTGTTTTTATTATAAAAATAAGAGGGGAAAAGCTTCTCGAATTAGTGGTAGCCCCTCTCCGGGCTCTCCTACAGGCTATCCCGACTCTTTGCTCCTGTCTCCTGTATTTTTTTTTCGCACGCTGATGTTCGCTGTATATTTAATCACTTATAATGATTTTTATTATAATTTTGTATCATTAATTAGTCTTCACCGAGTTCAATGACAGTTATTGTGATAGATACTTAAACTAGAAATTCGTTGGTCCAAACTGGTGTAAAGTTATGCCACATGGTACAAATACGTCRTATCGGTGTGCTTTTTGTTAACGCCGGTTTGGGTGAACGATTTTGTCGTCTTCAACGTGGCTCTTAAAATGTTATACTTCTTACTATTTATGATTACAAAAATACAAATAATGATGGATTTATTAATAAATATCAGTCTGATGATTTTGTAGGGTTAGTAGATAGGTAATCATAATATGATTCGAGATATTCAGTAATTCAGATATTGAACAACCGATTTGATTGTTTATGAACTGACAAAATAATATGATTTATTCTATTTAATATTATATAACTACTGAAGTATATTTTGACCTTCTAAATAATTTAATCGCCAGAGATACCTATTTATTTAATTAAATATTTTTATTGTAACTTGCGAACATATTAATTATTTTAATTATATCTGTATCGTAATCTGATAAATTATTAAAAGGAGTCTGATGTGCACGGTAATTAGCCGCARTAACTATTGTGTGCTGCTTTCAAGCATAATCCGACGTCACTAGCTCCCGGATGGGTGACCACCCGGGTTTTCTGAGATTAATCCTCGTCCCGTAAACAGCACATACCGCTAACCGTAGCCCTCTCCCACACACAAACAAAATACTAATGACCATAGTTTTCAAGGCTTAAGACTATTAAAAAAATTAACAATGATATTTAAACTTTCTATTTAATAACGCAGATATAAGTACCTGCTATTAATCTGATAAATTATTTTAAAACACAACACAATTTTAGTAAGGGTTAATAACTTAATTGTATGTATAATAAACTTTATTATTATTGTTGTTGATATTAGTTTTATTAATTATTAACAAACAGTTATATTTTTTTTTCATATAGCAGTATTTTTAAGCAATTTACATCCAAAAGTAATATAGGTATGTCAAAAAAAAAAAAAAAAAAAAATATTGGGCCCAGCTACTTTTTGCCAGTGATAATTTAAGCTGACATGGTTGGTACCAAACTACTGAATCTTAAGTGGTGTGAGACCGCGAMAATTTATTAGCAAAAGCTTATATTTATTAAAAATTCTAATGAATAGGTATTATAATACAGTAATCGTTTATTTGGTATAAAGAGGTACTCAACAATATTTTATATCTATATGTGGTATCTCGAGGCGTTGTATAGCTGCATCATGGTATAATAGCGGTATGATGTTACCTACTTATTACCGGTTATTTGAGCGCCTGCGAATTTTTAGATTTTACAACACGATAATTGGCGAAATTTTAAATTTTTATCTTAGGAATTTATGTCTCATTTTTCTTCATTGTTGTCTCGCCCTATCTCGGCTATTATTTTTACAATAAATCATTCACACCTACAAATACCCATCATGCAGTGGCTTTAATTACATCCTGCCTTTCTTTTTTAAACATTATATATTTCACGTATTGTACGTATTCTCCGTGCCCTTTACCTATATTCATACATAAACATTATATTGAACCATTATACCAAATATTCAAGGATTTACGGTCACATATTATTCTGACGAGAATAACACGCCTTCAACTGCACAATAAGTATGTATACCTGCTCAGTATAGTCAGTGTAGTATATATACCTACTCCTATTAGTTATTTTATGTTAAGCATAAGTATAGTATATTGTATATGATGCCTATGATGGTATATGTATAGTTTGAGTATCTTCAATCTATAATAGGTACCTATACTATAGTACCTATATACGACACGTGACCTACGTGTGTATTTTTTGAATTGTTATTGAGCTTGACATATTAGATATTTAGCTATTTAGCTGTATTTCAGAGAGTAATATTGTATTTATTTTTGTTAAACGATATACCTATTCTGCAGCACAATCATAGGCGGTCCTACGGGTGCAACCACTGCAGCCTGTGCTGCACCTAACATTTCAACCGTCCTCAAGTTTTTTTTTTTTATCAGTTGACATAATAATATTAATTATAATTATTCATAACTGTTTATAAAAATAAATAAGATTTAAAAGTCCAAGTAGAAAAAAGTGGGTAAGTCGTGGATGTCGCTCTGCTGTACTGTAGGTTACAAGTGGGTTACTGTAGTGGATGGAATTAAATTTGAATCTAATGATATTATATCATTGTATACGAAAAACGATTCTGAGCGAAGACGGTTTATCWGTCTAGGATATATTATARATTATTAAAAATTTTCAAATCTTAAATTTAAAAAGAAAAATTTTTATAAATTTCTAGTTTAAAATAATTTGCGAATTTTCGTGATTTTTACATAATATGTTGTCAAAATTCAAACCTTGAATGCTTGTAAAAAAAAATTAAGACTACGAATTTATTTTATTTTTCAATTGCTATTGTAAAAGTATGATAGGAGCCATGTATTCAATTTTCAAATCTTAGATATAAAATGAAAATTGTTTATGAATTTCTAGCTTAAAATAATTTACGAATTTTCATGATTTTTACGTATGTTATCAAAATTCAAACTTTGAATGCTTATAAAAAAAAAAACTGTGACTATGTAGTATTTCTTTTATTTTTCAACTGCTATTGTTAAAATATGTAAGGAGCCTTGTATTAAATTTTCAAGCTAACAAATAAATTTTTATCGATATTAA